TTTTTTTTTTTTTTTTTTTTTTTTTTTTGTTTTTAACAAAGTACACAATTTTAAATATTTTTATTAATTTAATTTAATTATTTTTTTTAATAATGGAGCATTTAATTTTTTTTTTTTTTTTTAGTATAAATATCTTAAGACGATTACAACGGTATCGTTTCAGTCCATCCCGGATTCTGCCATTTCCGTACACCATGGATACTCTTCTTTTCTCCCCTTCTTCTTCTTCAGCTTATCCTTCTCTCAAGGCTCCCACTCTGTTGCCTCGAAATGGCTTCTGGGGATCACGAAGCCTTTTCTCTGATTTTCCGAATGTATGCTCTTCCTTCCGCACTCTCAATCTACCGACTGGATTCGCAAGAAAATCCGCAATTGTCGCGGCGAAGAAAACCAATACTAACAAGGACGACAGCCACCGTTCTGTTCCCAAACCTGATGAGACTACCGGCTTCTTCCCTGAAGCTGTTCTGCTTAAGGAGGTGCAGTTTTAATGCTTCTCATTTCTTTTTAGTCTTTATATATTTTTATGTGTCTGTCGTCATCTGTTCATTATCTTCAAATTTCGGCGGTTCTTTGCTCTTTGAACTATTTCCAACTGGTTTGAATCTAAGAGCCGAGAAGCGGAAATTTTAGAAAGCCGAGAATTCGTGGAGGTTTGTTTGAATGTCATTCTCTTTGATACCTTCTTTGCTTCAAGTGCTTTTTGAAGGTTCTCTGATATGCTACTCGAGGAACTTCTAAGAATCGAGAATCCTAGGCGTAGATATTGGAGATCAGTACAAAAGTTTGATAGGAAGCTGCTCAGATATACTGACGTTTAACCTGCTTATATACTTTGTGAGTGGGAGAAATTTCTTGAGTGGACTTTTGGTTTTGATTCGCAGAAAAGAGTTGCTGAAGATGGTCAATTTCTCCCCGAATTTGCTGATGCGGAAGAAGGTGATTATTTCTATTTCATTTTGATCCATTCGTTGGCTTTTCTTTTAGAAGATTATGGTGGCTATGAACAGGAGTTATCAATTTCACTTTTGCCCTAATTTTGCAGAAAAGCTTTATGAATATTTGAACCTTCAGTTGGAAAGTGAATCGAAAGTTCTACAAAGTAAGCTTACTTTCTGCTTGTTGTGGTCAATTATGATTAATACAACACAATGAATAGGGAGTTGATGTTTTTATCATTAACACAGGAAGGAAAAGGTTGTATTTATTTAGTTTGTGTAATTTTTCTCGCCCAACTATTGTCTAAAGAAGGCAAAAGTTTCATCCTGTATTTGTTTATATTTGAAGTGGTGTATTTCCTTTCTTGTCACTGCAGTGCGTCACTATGAGGTAGTCTTCTTAATTCACGAGAAGAACGCAGAAGAGGTTGAGAGTGTAAATGAGAAAGTTCAAGGTAATGCAACTATCTTGACAATTTTGCTCTCTTATGCTGTGACTTTGTGCTGCCTGCAAGGCTGTTTTCTCTAAACGGTGTTGTAGCGAACATGTAATGTGAGATCCCACATCGGTTGGGGAGGAGAACGAAACACCCTTTATAAGGGTGTGGAAACCTCTCTCTAGCAGACGCGTTTTAAAAACTTTGAGGGAAAGCCCAAGAGGAAAAACCCAAAGAGGCCAATATCGGCTAACGGTGGGCTTGGACTGTTACATGTAAATTCCATGACTTGTGCAAGTCATAACTTTTGACCATCGGGCTCAGAAACTCAACACCAGCTTATTGATCCTAGTTGCATCTATGTTTCTTCGGAGTTCCTGTTGAATTTTCCTTCAGTTTCTGATTAAATAGAAAATGCTGTTGCAGGTTTTATAAGGGAGAAGAAAGGGAAGATATGGAGACTGAGTGACTGGGGAATGCGAAGGTTGGCTTACAAGATAAAGAAAGCCAATTATGCACATTACATATTGATGAATTTTGAACTGGAGGCCAAATGGATTAATGAATTTAAGAGCATGTTAGATATGGATGAAAGAGTAATTCGACATCTTGTGATTAAGAGGGATGCTGCTATCACTGAAGATTGCCCTCCACCTCCCGAGTTTCATACCCTTCGTGCAGGAGATGACTACAGTGAAGAAGAAGAGGAAGAGGACATGGATGATTATGATAGTGAGGATTCACTGGATTGGGATGGTGAAGATGAGTTGGATGATTATGGTGATGATATTGAAGATGGGATTATTATTGTCGACGATGACGATGACAGCGGAAGTAAGGCCATCAAATCTGCTGCAGGTAACAGAGGCTTGAGAAATGGAACTAAAAAATAAATGGATAGTGTCGATTTGGCAGTAGAAGTTGAGGTGAGTTTCTTGTAATGAGGTTTGTTTTAATAAATGGATAGGCGAATTGCGTTAGATTTGTCCTTATCTTATCACGTAATGGCACATGATTGATACCATCTGCATTCGCTTCGGAGTGGGCCGTGAAGGCATTGAGCTAATTCTACGATTCTGTGATGGAGTTTTGCTTCACTTCAGGTATTAAGTTACTGAAACTGCCATTATTTTCCCTGAATTATGTGCCCTTCACCAGTTAAAAGACTTGTAGGTTTTAGGTCATGTCAACAAACCACACGTGACTCGATGTCGAATTATCTTCATCGCAACTGTTTCTCCATGGGAACCAAGTTATTATGTCGATGTCGAACTTGTGAATATCTGAAAATGTCAACGAGTTAACATGTTAGGCCAAAAATTTAAAATCCTATTGGAATCATTATGATGCATCTATTTTTCGGTTGGGTTTGTAGAGCTAGATTAATGATTAATCTCATACCAATTTGTTGAGGCATTAGCAATTTGAGTGGAAAAATATGGTTGGAAGTAAATGATACCAACAATTAGTTACAATTTTCAGGCTGAGTTGAGCTTCAAAGTTGGATGTGTTTATAAGATGGATCATAGCTATCTAATTTCAAATTTCTAATACTCTGCCCGATTGGAAACTTTACCTATTCATTATTGACCCAATTTTAGACATATTGGGATTGTTCTTGCTTCTTGTTAACGGGAAATCTGATTGAATCATGAATGCTGCTTTTGATGAGTATCAGTTCTTCCCTTCATTCCCATCTTTCTTCCAAAGTTGGTCTCTTGTATATTTTAAGTTTACTCCAACCTTTTAAGGAATACGTTATACTTTGAATTTATTCTATTTTAGTCTCTGTATTGTATTTTCATTACATCGTGAACTTATTTTTCTCTTTTTCGAAAGAGATAAATTTGTATATTGCCAACTCTACGAGCAACAGCCTATAAAATGCTCATAAGAGAGGGCTGAAACTCATATTATTACAAAGGTAGAGAAGTGAATATCAAAGCATGGCAAAATGTGGTATGAGCATTACCGCCATTGCTGTAAGCTTCCTCATCCTCCTCCATCTGCCATCTCTTTGTACTGCAAGTATCAGAGAATCAGTCCATTTCATTCCCCCATCAGATGTTGATCTTTTAGAATTCCCTCTGAATTTAGAGTACTTGGAAGCCGAATTCTTCTTATTTAGCTCTCTGGGACATGGTTTGGATAAAGTTGCACCAGATTTAGCCATGGGAGGGCCATCGCCTGTTGGTGCTCAAAAGGCCAAGTTGAGCCCCTTCATCAAGGACATCATCACGCAATTCGCCTACCAAGAAGTTGATCACGTGAGGTATTTTTCTAGTTGACTTTGTCGGGTTATGGAGCCTGCTACCTATTTTAGGTTATTCAATTGTTATACGTATTACTTTCTGTATTCTTTATATCCTCTCTAAGTAGAAGTCATCCATATAAGCCTTTAGCCTATATTATTTCTTGCATTTTCTCTCTCCAGCTTTTTGTATTCATCTAGATCGAGTATGTGCGTTTTTGTGCGGTCCTAACTAGATTTTACTTTCATGTGAATCTCTGATGGTCATTTCACATCACACGAATTTATGCAGGGCCATTAAAGATACAGTGAAAGGATTTCCAAGGCCATTGCTGAACTTGAGTTCAGAATCATTTACCGAAGTGATGGATAGAGCCCTTGGCTGTTGGACGAACCCACCTTTCGACCCATATGCTAATGACGTGAATTTCCTTCTCGCTAGCTACATCATTCCTAATATTGGACTCACTGGGTATGCTGGAGCAAATCCAAAGCTGAAATCTGCTGCCTCCAAGAAGGTATTCCCTGAAATTCAAAGACAATTTTCAATCTTACATACATACATAACACTAACTACTAAACACACTCCTACGAGTCGATGTTTCAGCTTGTTGCAGGTCTTCTAGGAATCGAATCGGGTCAAGATGCAGTGATCAGAGCTCTTCTTTATGAACATGCAGGGGAGAAGGTCGAACCATATGGAGTGACAGTGGCGGAGTTCACGGAGCGCATTTCAGAACTGATGAATAAGCTAGGACATGCAGGCACAAAAGATGAAGGCATTGTGGTACCCAAAGACAATGGTGGCACTGTGGCACCCAAAGACAATGGTGGCACTGTGGCACCCAAAGACGAGGGTGCCGAGGGTAAGACTTCAGGGAACGTGCTTGCTGGAGATGAGTACTCACTCGCATACGCGAGAACCCCCGAGGAGGTTCTAAGGATTTTGTATGGTGAGGGTAATGAGCATGTTCCTGGGGGTTTCTATCCGAATGGTGCCAATGGTCGGATCGCTAAATGCCACTTAGCGACCAAGACACACAGCAAATAATGCTCTGCAGTTGCTTTCTATTTCTAGATCACCAAAAAAGTGATCATCAATAAAGAGGGAATTTTCCGTACTAACGTGAAGGGTATAAACCATGGATTATGTTACTACCATCGATGTTATAAACTCGCTCGTGAAGGTCAAGAATTTTATTTTGAGAGGCCATATAAACTCATTAAATTATATTTGTAAAATGAGCCTTTGTCCTAAGTTTCTATCCATTTTTATATGGCATGTTTAGCGCTTGATCTGATCAATTATGCTATTTGAAACGAGTAAGTTATTTAATGATCAAAATAATCCAAATATTAAAATATTAATTTTCTTGATTTTGTTGTGATGTTGTAGGATATATTTACGTTACACAGTTTAATTAATATATATTTTCTCTATTTTTATTTAATAAATATATTAAATATTAATTTGAAGTTTTAAATTAAATATATTTTCTCTTTTATATTTAATTTCAACTTTCAAATTTAATATATTAAATATTAAATATTAATTTCAATTTTAAGTAAATATATTTTCTCTTTTATATTTTATATATAAAATATTAATTTGAATATTTCAAAATTTTCTAATGAGTTAGAAGGGACACCTAATATAAAAAAAATTAATTATTTAAAAAATTAATGAATTAAACTCTCTAATTAATTAACTTATATTTAAAAAATTAATGAAGTAAAAGCGTTTTACTGCATCGTTAGTGAAAGTTGAATTTGAACATCCATAGATGTAGGGTGCAAAATTTAGTTTAATGATCAAAAAGCGTGGACGTCGGATGGCCATGCAAAGACAACATCCATTCATGTCTAAGTTAGGGTCCACCTACTAACCTTGTTTTGTAGCACGAGCAGCTGTCGGCATCCAAAAGAATGTGGCAATCGAACTTTAAGTCTGCATCCTTAGCCTGCCATCTATTCTTCTCCTATTTTTACCAATTCTACAAGCAAAGAGCTTATAAAATGGACATAAGTGAGGCTAAAACTCATGTTGTAACAAAGGTAGAGAAGTGAATGATATCAAAGCATGGCAGAATGTGGTATGAGCATTACCGCCATTGCTGTAAGCTTCCTCATCACCCTCCAGCTGCTAACTCCTTGTACTGCGATTCACAGAAGAGCAGACCATTTGATTCCCCAATCAGATGTTGATCTTTTAGAATTCCCACTGAATTTAGAGTACCTGGAAGCTGAATTCTTCTTGTTTGGCTCTCTTGGATATGGTTTGGATAAAGTTGCACCGTATTTAACCATGGGAGGGCCATCGCCTATTGGCGCTAAAATGGCCAATTTGGGTCCTTTCATCAAGGACATCATCATGCAGTTCGCCTACCAGGAAGTTGGTCACTTGAGGTATTTGTTTTTCTAGTTGACGTCCCATTGATTTTACTTTCACGTGAATCACACGCGTCGTTTTGTTGAGAATTGTTGGGAGAGGAGTTTCGGCTAATTAAGGGGTTTGTAAGTAAGAAATATATTACGAGACCTTTGGAGGAAAATAAAAGCAAAGTCACGAGAGTTTATAATGAAAGTGGACAATATCATGTCATTACCGTCATGCCCTTAACTTAGATATGTCAATAGAATCTTTAAATGTCGAACAAAAAAGTTGTGAGTCTCGAAAGTGTAGTAAAACGTGACTCAAGTGTTAGGGCTCTAAAGAAAAGGAGTCGAGCCTCGATGGAAGGGAGGTTGTTCGAGGGCTTCATAAGCCTCATGAGAGGCTCTGTAGTGTACTTTGTTCGAGGACTCTAGAGAAGAGGAGGTTGTTTGAGGGCTTTATAAGCCTCAAGGGAGGCTCTGTGGTGCACTCTTTGTTCGAGGAGTCCCACATCGACTACTTAAGAGGTTACCGTGAAGGAATACATCTTTATTGGTAACACGTTTCCCATCCCATAATTTATGCATGCAGGGCAATTAAAGATACAGTGAAAGGATTTCCAAGGCCATTGCTGAACTTGAGTTCAGAGTCATTTGCCAAAGTGATGGACAGAACCTTTGATAGTAAGTTGAAACCACCTTTTGATCCGTATGCTAATGACTTGAACTTCCTTCTCGCAAGCTACATCGTTCCTTACGTTGGACTAACTGGGTATGTTGGAGCAAATCCAAAGCTCAAATCCGCTGCCTCCAAGAGGGTATTCCCTGAAATTCAAACATAATTTCAATCTTAACAGACATACATAACACTAAACACAATCCTACGAGCCAATGTCTCAGCTTGTTGCAGGTCTTTTAGGAGTTGAATCGGGTCAAGATGCAGTAATCAGAACTCTTCTTTATGAACGTGCAACGAAAAGGGTTGAACCATATGGAGTGACAGTGGCAGAGTTCACACAGCGCATTTCAGAACTGCGGAATAAGCTAGGACGTGCAGGCATGAAAGATGAAGGCATTGTGGTACCCAAAGACAAGGGTGGTGAGGGTAAGATCTCAGGGAACGTGCTTGCTGGAAATGAGTACTCAATCTCATACGCAAGAACACCCGAGGAAATTCTAAGGATTGTGTATGGTGGGGGTAATGAGCATGTTCCTGGGGGCTTCTATCCAAAGGGTGCCGATGGCAACATCGCTAAATCCAATTTAGCGATCATGGCACCTAGCAAGTAATGTTGTTGTGGTTGTTTTCTATTTCTAGATCATTAATAAAGTGGACATCAATAATAATAGCAACTATAGTCGCTTTATTTGAACTTCTGGAGATGTATTCCTTACTTATAAATCCATGTTATTCCCTAAATTAGCCAACGTAGAGGGGAGTCCCTTAAGGCCTATAGAGCCCTCGAATAGTCTCCTCTTAATCGTACAAAGTACACTTTTTGTTTGACACTTGAGTCACTTTTAACTACACATTCGAGATTCACAACTTATTTGTTCGACATTTGAGGATTTTATTGACATGTCTAAATTAAGGGCATGAGTCTGATATGAAGTTAGGAATCACATAACTCTACAATGGTATAATATTGTCTGTTTTGAATATAAACTCTCGTGACTTTGCTTTTGATTTTGCTTTAAAGTCTCATACCAACAGAGAGTTACCCAATTCGGGTCAGCTCCATTACCCATTATACAAGTTGATTGTTACTTCAATTCTTTCTTCTTTACACATCCCATCAATCAAAGCATGATAAACAGTAAAACTCCGGTTTAAAATCCTCCCGCAAGCTCTCAAGAAACATCAATTTTACCTACTTACACACTGAAGACACCATAGTCGTACAGCAAACGTCGTCAGGTGGGCAGCCCTTACTTGACATTTCAACAAACACCTTGCGTGCAGTATCAATCGGATCATTTCTTATTAAAACAATAAGATTTTTTTTTAACTTTTTAATAAAATATAAAGTTGTTTATAAGAGGTATTAATGAAAATTTCAAACACTTTTTTTGTTAGGATCGATACCAGTTATTAGCTCTGATACTAATTGTTAGGATCGCTTAACGACACACTCAATACACTCAACACACTCGATGATGAACTCACAAAGAATATGAGAGAGAAAATACAAAGATGACGATGAACACAAAAAATAGAAGAGAGAAAATACAAAGATGACGATGAACACAAAAAATAGAAGAGAGAAAATACAAGGAGAAATATATAGCTATTGGCTAAAGGTTTATATTGATTACCATAGGTATTGGTACAACCAGAATACAGAAAATATTGGGTAAAAGTTTTATACAGAGAAATAGGAGAAAAACGGAAATACAGTTTTAGAGCAGTGCGTATATATAGTTTCAATTTACTAAATATAGCTTCCAAAGATTTAAACTATATAATCTAAATATCTTTGTATATGGTTTCAATTTACTACTTTCCAAGATTTAGACTATATAATCTAACAAATAACAAATATATCTTTATCTAATTAGGTATATATCTTTATCAAATTTTTACATATATATCTCTATCTTATATCTTTGCAAAATATCTTTCAAATATATTTCTACTAGATCTAGTCATCAGACTCTATATCCCAACATTTTTTTTTACATTTTTTTAATTTATTTGAATATTAAAGGGTATTTTTGTTGAGAATTATTGGGAGTGAATCGGTAGTTAGTTGATCATAAGTTTATAAATGAGAATATTATCTTCATTGGACCTTTTGAGGAAGCCCAAAGAAAATGAGAGTTTATGTTCAAAGTGGACAATATCTTTTGGGAGCCCACATGGACCTTTGAGGAAGCCAAAGCAAATGATAACTTATGCTCAAAGTGGATAATATCATACCATAGTTGTGATTTCTAACATGGTATCAGAGTAGCCATATCAATAGAATCTGAGGCCTTTCAAAGTGGACAATATCATACCGTTGCAGATGGTTGTGATTTCTAACAATTTTGAAACTCTTCTCAAGTAAATTTTAAACAAAGTATTATCTAAAATTAACAGTAAAATATTATAATTAGTTTAAAAAAATTGGAAGATATAGTTGAAATTTTTAAAAGTAAAAAAAAAAAAAAAAAAAAAAAAAA